ATCAAGCCATGCTGGATTCAGCTCATCACATCCTCTATCCAGTTCCATGGCTTGAAGAATGAGGAGGCCAGGGTGCATCTTTCCCGTTTTCTGCAGCTGACGAACGGGTTCAAGCTGAATGGTGTCCCGGATGATGCAATCCGCCTTCATCTCTTCGCCCATTCTCTGGCGGGGAATGCTAAGAGGTGGTTGGAGACCCAGCCCCCATTGTCCATCACCTCTTGGGACGATCTGGCGGACAAGTTCGTGCACAGGTACTATCCGGCATCGAAGACTACAGAGATTCAGCGGGAGATCACTCACTTCCGCCAGGAGCCAGATGAGTCACTTCGTGATGCTTGGGAGCGGTACATGGGCTATTTCTGGCAGTGCCCCCATCATGGCTTCAGTGATGCATTCACAGTGGGGAACTTCTACAGTGCCCTTTCTCCAGACATCCAGAGGGTGATTGAGTCTCTATGCCCAGGAGGGGATATTCTTACCAAGACTCCACCCGAGCTGAACCAGATGATCAGTACTTTGGCTGCCAGAGATCATTCTTGGGGACAGGGTAGCCGAGGCAGACAGCCCGGGACCGTGGTGTGCACGCCATGGAGACCAGATCCGGGCTCGAGCAGCAGGTAGCTGAGCTAGTGCAGACATTGAAGCACCCCAACAGTCTGATTCCGGGCAGAGGTTTGGCTACACCTCCAGTTGCTCAGTGTCAGTGGTGTGAGAGCTCCAATCACCTAGTGGAGGACTGCCAGGCTATGAGGGAGTCTACCACACCCCAGGAGCAGTTGGCCTTCATCGCCAATGCGAGGCGCCTCGATCCATACAGCAGCACATATAATGAGGGGGTGGCGCCAGCATCCCAACTTCGCCTGGAGCAGCAACACCACTAAACCACCTGGTTTCCCAGCACCAGCAGGTGGTTTTCAGCAGAGGCAGCCCTTCCAGGCTCGCCAGGGGCCAGACCCACAGCAGCAGCCATACCAGCCTAGGCAGGGCCAGCCATTCCAGCAGCCCCAGCGCCAGTTTGCTGAGCCAGCAGCAGCTCCGGCCCCAGATGACAGGATGACGAAGCTGGAAAACATTCTAGCTTCATTCATGACTAGCACCCAGGCTGCTATCACATCACTGGAGGCAGGTCAGCGGAACCAGGGTGCCATTTTGCAGGATCTGCAGACCCAGGTGGGCATCTTGGCCCGGCAAAACACTACCAGGGCACCGGGGACTCTGCCTGCCACCACTGTCCCTAATCCTCGAGATCCTCACCAGCAATAGCAGCTGGATGCCATTTTTACCAGGAGCGGTAAAACCATATCTGCTGATCCTGTCCCGGCCAGACAGGAGGAACCACTGCCTGCTCCAGCACTTCCAGCCGACAATGCAGAAGTGCGGGTGGAGAAGGAAGCCCCTGCTCCCAAGCCACAACCAGTGGTTAAGGAGCATGTACCCCAGCTTCCCTTCCCCACTCGCCTACACAAGGACAAGCTGGAGACTGAGTTTGCCAAGTTCATGGCAATGTTGAAGCAGCTCAACATCAGCATACCGTTCATGGAGGCACTGTCGAAGATGCCCAAGTATGCCAAGTTCATGAAAGATATCTGCACCAACAAGAAGAAACTTGGGGATCTCTCGACAGTGATGCTGAGCGAGGAGTGTTCTGCTATCCTGCAGAACAAGCTGCCCGAGAAGCGCAAGGATCCAGGGAGTTTTACTATCCCCCTTACTATTGGCAGCATGCATGTAGGAAAGTCCTTGGCGGACCTAGGCGCTAGCATTAACGTCATGCCATATAAGTTGTATAAAATGCTAGACCTAGGTGAACTTAGCCCTACTAGGATGAGCATTCAATTGGCTGATCGTTCTAATGTGCATCCTAGGGGAATCATAGAGGATCTGCTTGTTGGTGTTGGTGCATTCACATATCCTGTTGATTTTGTTATTCTTGATGTGCATGAGGATGTGGATGTGCCTTTGATTCTAGGTAGGCCATTTCTTGCCACCGCCAAGGCACTTATTGATGTGCATGATGGTAAATTGATTCTGCGTGCTGGTGATGAACAGGCTACTTTTTCTGTGACTGAGTTTGATCACTGTGCTATGATTGCTTTCACGCCTGTGCATGCTATGTCTGATCAGGTACACGAGTCTGTCGTGTACCCTTCTGCACCTCCTATTTTGCAGGACCCTCCTATCATTCCTTCGCCGCCACTCCATCCAGCCTCGCCTCCGAACAAAAAGCTCAAGGAGGAGTGGCGGCCGAAGCAGCAGGTTGCTAAGCCTGCACGGAAGAAGAGTGGAGACCACTATGAGCTGGTCCCACCTCCTGCACCACGACCACCCTGGCCGTCTGGGTACTCGTTCTCCTGCATCTTGCCAGATGGGCAGGTCGAGCTAACTGATGAGGGTGGTCGCATCCGTCGGGTGCATGGCCACAACCTCAAGCTGTACCTCAAGAGCGACGTGGATCCGCTCTTGGAGGCACCTGTTCCTGCACCGCCCTGAGTATCCACCATGGGCGTCCAGCTAATACGACGGTAAAGAAGCGCTTGTGGGGAGGCAACCCCACCACGGTTTGATTTTCTTTCTTGTGTTTTGAGTCGGATTGTAACCCGGTTTGGGTTTGGTTTGTTTTCTTTTGGTTTGGATGATGTTTTATTGGGCTGACCATTGAACCTAACATACTGTGTTTGAGCTCTTCTGTTACCCTTTGGTTGTGCTTGCCCCGACTGGCCCGTTTCCAGTCCCCTGCAGTCCGTGCATACCGGTAACATCTTTCCCTATCCCTTCCCTCTTCTCCATTGAGGGCAATGTCGATCTTAAGTTTGGGGGGGTGTTTATCTTTTGATTGCATTAGATATGTTTGTGTGCTTGGAGCCTAGTCCATTGTCCAAATTTTTAAATTTGAGGGCTCCAAGTACGTGTCTCCTTGCAATTGCCTGCTCAGTATGCTTTGAATTGACAGTCTTTATAGTAGCATGCAACCTAGGGAGGTAGTGTAGCACTATGGAGGATGTTGATGCATTTAAGGAGTCTCATTTCTTCTTCATATTGAGTTGGTTGATTGAGTGAATTAGTGATCTTAGGACCCTTGAATTGTGTGGTGTTGTGGATTCTCTACCTGTCATGGACTCTTGTATCATGTTTTGAGTTTAACAGGTGCTCGAAAATGTGCTTCAAAATAACGTCTCCCGTGCGAATAGGGCGAAAGTGTGTAGGGGGAGACGGGAATCCGTTCCCAACTTCCACCTACTACCTCCAGCCCCCTTACATGTCTTTCCCCCGCACGAGGCTCGAGACATCCGCTCCTGGCATGGCCGGTAAGAGCAGGTTGGGACCCTTGAAAAGAAAAGAAAAGAAAAATAACAGAAACAAGCAAAACAGAAAAAAAAGGGTTCCAACCATCTTCAAAGAAAATCGAGCACCTTGAAAAATGTGAGTCCATGATCCTTTGTTTTTGAGAATCTCTCCATCCACGATTCATTTGTCCTCTGTTCACTTTTTGCCATGATGCCGACTCGATAAGAAGCTTTGAGATGACTTGTGTGTCGGTTGACCTCGTAAGTTGCTAAATGATCTAAGAAGTCCTCTACTTACGATCTCGGTTATTTGTTGCTATAGAGGTCTGGAGAGTTGCATTGGTTTGAGTTAGGTTTGCTTGGGGACAAGCAAACGGTTAAGTGTGGGGGAATTTGATAACGATGTAAATGCACATGTTTGCGCCCCTAGTTCTTATCCGTTTGAGGAGTATAGTCGTGTGTTTTGGCCTATTTTACGCCGGGTTGTGCTATTTTGTCATGTTTCAGGTCCCAGGCATTAAAGGGAAGGCTAACCGCGAGTTTCGGGGCATTCGGAAGTCATTTCGGTGAGCTGGAGCCAAAACACGGGCAGACCCAAGGCATTACACGGCCGTGTACTGCTGGCCGTGCTTTTTATGCCGAGAGCAAATTCGGTTTGGCAATTTCAGTTGCAAACACGGGCACCAAAGCACGGCCGTGTTCAGTCAAAGCACGGCCGTGTACATGGCGAAGCACGGCCGTGTTTCCAACAGCTGCTGGCCGTGTAATTAAACACTGGCCGAAACACGGGCAGGCTCAGGCAAAGCACGGCCGTGCCCTCGACCGTGCTTTGGCCACTGATGCTTTTAAGCAGATTTTCAGCCACAATTCAAGGGGATTCGAGTTTTTGAGAGAAAGAACGACTTCTAGAGAGAGAAAATGACGAACAAGAGTCTCCAAGTGCCCTAGATTGATCTTCAACACCATTGGAGGCCAGCTTGAGCTTGGAGAAGTGCCAATCAACGTCCAGAAGCAGGAATCCATCCTTCGCACTATGAATTCCGTGTCTGATTCTGCTTTTGCTTTCTTCTCCATGGAGTAGTTCTCCCATTCATCTGGGTATGGAGAACCCTAGATTTGTATGTTAGGCTTTGATTGTATGAACCCAAGTACTGATTCTGTGATTGATTATATTCGATTGAGGTTTTAATGATTGAATGACTTGAATCCTGATCAAATTCCTGTTGTTTCTGCTTTAACCTAGAATGAGAATATCTGCCTAGGTTAATAGAGTATCCTTGATTGAAGGTAGGGAGTTGGTGACTTTAGTCGAGGAGCCAACTCACTATTCTGTACCGGATTTACTCCGGTAGTGGAGGTTTTGTTCTTAGGGCCTCAATCTGTCGACTCCGGTGGAGGTTAGTCGCCCGCTAGAGAGTCAGATTGAGAGGGTCTGAAGACCTTTAGTCGAGACTTCAGGCTGTTTAAGAACCTTCCGCAGTATAACTGTCATAGAAACTGAACTTGGTAATTACAATCCGGCTTAACTGCAGTCTAGGGGGAACCATATCCGGGTGACCTCTCTTAACTTGAATACAACCAGTTTACTTGCTTTGTTAGTTTGTTAGTTAGACTTGCATTCCAGTTTCATTACTAGATAACAAGAATTCACTGAGTAGTCATCAGATCTAGGACCCAGGTTGACATATAAACCTAACCCGCTATACTACGCTTTAGGAAGTGGTTTCACTTGGCCAAATCCTAGGGTGACAGTAGAGTCGAGTCAATCGTTCGATCAGGGCTCGTTTGAATCGACGGACTGGAGCCCGAGTTTCATGTGTTGTCATTCCGGCTGGGGATGCAACCATGGAAATTACCCCAGCATTCATCAATATGATCACCAATGGATTTACTTTCTCCAGGGCTAGCAATGAGGATCCTCATGAACATCTCCGTCGGTTCGCGAGCATATGTGATACGATGAAGATCCCAACAGTGTCTGATGATGCAATTCGTCTTTGGATGTTCTCATTCTCCCTGATAGGGAATGCATCACACTGGTTTCAGAACTTGACACCACGTTCCATCACGACATGGGCTCAGCTTGAGAAGGTCTTTCTGGATAAGTACTTCCCACCTGCCTTGGCAATGAAGAGGCAAGAAGAGATTGTTACTTTTAAGCAGGCTGATGATGAGAGTCTGACTAAGGCATGGGAGCGCTATAAGGGGATTTTGATAAGATGCCCAAGCCACGGTCTACAAGATTGGAACATTATCATTATTTTCTTCAATGAAATCAGAAGGGAGTTTCAGGATGCCCTGAATAATGCTTCTCGAAATGGTTTCACAAGCATGGAGGCACCAGCAGCATATGATCTGGTAGAGAAGATCTGTTCAGAAGCCACTGAATGGGGTAGTGAGACCAGTATTTGAAGAAGAGGAGGCTTGCATGAGATAAACAGAGTTGCGAGTCTAGAAGCCAAGATAGATGCCAGCTGGATTCTAAGTTCGATGCACTCGAACGAAGGCGGGCCAAGATTGCTCTGGGTAGACAAGAGGAGGTTGTTTCATCTAAACTTTGTGAGGGTTCTCATCATAGGGATATGTGTCCACTGGGAGCTGCTCAGTTGGAAGATGTCCAATATATCAATAATCCGCGAAGTCAAGGGCAGGGTGGTATGTATTCAAATACATACAACCCTCAATGGAGGCATCACCCCAATATGTCATGTTCAAACAATAATCCAGTTGGTGTTCGAAACATCCCACCTCCTGGTTTTCAACAGCAGCAGCCTCAACCAGAGAAGAAGCCCCAGCTGGAGGAGTTGATTTTGGCTCATATGCAGAAAACAGACAATAATTTCAAGGGATTGATCAATTTTTCACTCAACAGCTAGCCATCAACAATAATATGCAATCATCTATGCTAGCTATGGAGAGGCAAATAAGCCAGATGGCTCAAACTTTGGCAGATATTCAGGGTAGGATTCCAGGGACTTTACCAGCAAATACTGAGAGGAATCCGAAGGACGCCATGGTTGTAGCAGTCACATTGAGGAGTGGGAAGGAGTTGGAGGATCCAAAGAGAAAGAAAAATCCGGTAGAAAAGGAGAGCAAAGCAGCTGCAGAGGAAGAAAGTGCAAAAGCTGAAAAATCTGACTTGCACATGCAAACTGCATGCAATCTGCCTGTGCATGAGCATTCTGCCTGTGCAACTCCAAAAGTGGAAAAACTCAAGAATGAAGAGGTAAAGCCTTATGAACCTCCCGCACCCTTCCCTCAGAGGTTAATGAAGCCCATGGAAGACCCAAACTTCAAGAAATTTGTGAATCTCTTCAAGCAACTTCATATCAACATACCGTTGGCGGAGGCACTTGAACAGATGCCTACATATGCTAAATTCTTAAGGGAGTTGCTGACAAAGAAGCGTAAATGGGCTGATCTAGAGAAGGTAACCCTTACTTCTGAATGTAGTGCTGTGATTCAAAATAAATTACCAGAAAAGAGGGATGATCCAGGAAGCTTCACCATTCTATGTATCATTGGAGGTACAGAGTTCGATAAATCACTTTGTGATCTTGGAGCAGGAATTAATTTGATGCCATACTCAGTCTACAAGAAATTGGGATTGGGGGATGTTCTTAAGCCTACTCGGATCACTCTCCAATTGGCCGATCGATCAGTGAAAATTCCAAAGGGAGTGGTGGAGAATGTATTGGTGAAGGTGGGGAAGTTTATTCTCCCTACAGATTTTGTGATTCTGGAGATGGAAGAAGATCGGGGAGTGCCTCTCATTCTTGGTAGACCTTTTCTAGCCACTGGCGATGCACTCATCGATGTTTGGAGAGGCAAGTTGACATTCCGAGTAGGTAAAGAGGAGGAAATTTTAATGTCTTTCAAGTTGACCATAATCACGATGCATTTGATGACTTTGAAAGTGGAGCTCGAGAAAGGAAAAATTCCTCTTCCTGTGATAGTGGACCACCCAAAGAACTATCACATGTCCTAGCAGCTCAAAGTCTGAAATCAAAGCAAGGGCAGAAATCCTTGCCAGGGCACCTCAAGTATAGATATTTGGGTAAAGATTTCAATCTTCCTGTTATCATTCCTTCTTCACTGACATTGAAACAGGAAGAGTACTTGCTTGAGGCGCTGCAATACCACCTACGCCTCACTAAGGAGTTCAACATGCAAGCTAAGAAGGTCATACCCAATTTTCGCACACCTGGCCCTGCAGAGGTGACTCATATGTTGGATGGAGGTTATACGTTCTATCATTGCTCGGGAGGGTATTCTGGATACCTTTCCATACCCATTGGTTGAAAGCTCCATAAACGTCAAGCTGAGGACATTAAGCAAGCGCTTCTTGGGAGGCAACCCAAGGTGTTTTCTTTTCTTTATTTTTTTTTGTGTGTGTGTCAAACCCGTGCATGTTTAGATTAGGAGTTGAACATTAGGGACAATGTTCCATCCTGAGTGTGGGGTGGTGAGTCTTAGAGTTGTTTGTCCCTGTTGCATGTGGTAAAAAAAAATCCAAAAAAAAAACTGTCATTTGGCTATGCACAGTCAAACTGCATGCAGTTTGCCTGTGTTGGTGCAGTCTGCCTGTGCAAAGCTAATGGCTAAAAATACCTAAAAATCAGAAAATTTTAAAACAAACCCTTGTACTCTTGTGGTAACATGATGTAAATGACCGTGATGCTTTGAAAATGAGTTTGTGCTTGAAGGAAATCATCAAAATCACCCCCACTAGTGTTGAATTGCATAGTTCTTCCCAATGAGCTTGATGTTTTGACTGACTTGATGTGCTTTGAATTAGCAAACTATTTTAGCAAAACTCTATTTTGTGAGGATAGTGCAATGACTTTTGGTGAAGTAGTTAGGTGGAGAACATTGACCATTCAACATGTTTGGATACCGTGCTTACTTGCACTTGTTGTGAGCTTTTGACTTTGCATTGAGTCTCTCTGTTTTGAATGTTTTATGATGGGGTGAACTGTATATTTATAAAAGAAAACACTACCTGACAAGTAAAATATAAGAAAGTTGCAATAACAATTAAAGCGTGGGTAAAATACCAAAATCGTGTGAGGCAATCACTCATTGCACATGGGGATTAGGAAAGATTCAATTGAGAATCGGTTCACGACCGTACGATGTTGCTTATCAAGTACGATCCCCAGTAGAGTGAAGTTCCATTAGAGGATGTGCAATGACCCTCCACAGGGACCGAGGAAAAGGAGTTAAAGGAAGCCCTTATGCGAGTGCTAAGAAGCAGAAATTGCTCTTGCTCGGTCACCGGTACTAAGAAACAAATCCCACTTTTACTAAATACGACCACTCGGCAAGCATAAGCAGAAAGAGAGAAAGCCTCTCCTTGTCATAAAAGGTAGTGATGTGCTTAAAGTTAAAATCATGTTTGCGAAAGGCTTCCCCCATTAGTTTTTGAGACTCATGCTTTGTTAATTGCTTATGATTGGTGTGAGTAAGCTAGATTGTCCTCACGAGATATGGACCTCACTAATGTGGTTAGATTCTCCTAATAATTGTTGCACCATAAGTTCTTAACCACCCACTACCGACGATCGAGGTTGAGTGTTGCTATTTGAGCTTTTGATGGATTTGAGTCAGTCAATGGTAAAGGGTTGCAAGACCTTGAGTGTGGGGTGAAAGGTATGATCATTAAAGCATAACTCATCCATTGAGAAAGAAACTACTGATTACAACAAGAGTACAAGGAAATTTTGTGTTTTGTTTTGAGTGTTTGAGTGTTGAGTCTGTAATGTGTCATTGTTATAGATTGTTAGGTCTATGTGTCTTTTGAGTCGTTGCTTAGGGACAAGCAACAATTGAGTGTGGGGTTGTGATAATCGGCTTTAATATATTTGATTCTTGAACTTTATGTGACTATCCCATGATATATTTAAGCCAATTGGTGTTATTTTAGGGCTCGCTAACCCGGGAATGGTTGAAAAACTATAACTGCCTAGTGCCATGAGTTTGATATGTTTCAGGTGGAGAAAGCACGAAAAAGAAGCGAGTGCACAAGCAATTAATGGGGCCCAAATCGATTTGTCTAGGGGAGGAGACGCAATTGGGTCAGGATGAGGAATTAAGTGGACATGGTCCATTTAGTTGGCCTGGCCATCATTAACTTGGACATATTTGGAGGGACGAAACTAAATAATCTCTGGGGGGAAATGGAGAGGTAGCTGAGGACGTAATTATTTGAGGGGGGATCTTTTAATTAGCTGTGGCGGAATTCTTTGGGGAGGAGAAGGGCGGAATCAATTTTGGAGACGGGATAGAAGGAAAAAGGAAGTCTTGGACGAGGGGGAAGGAAATTCTCTGGGGACGGAAGCTTTTGGGGAGAAAAAAGCAGCGGGACAGCGCAAGGCGATTGGAACGAGAGGGAAGCAGCAGCGCCAGGGCAATTCTAGAGCAACCATCGGCGATTGGAGGAAAATAGAATCAAACAACATCTGATATTCAGTATCTTTTTCTTTTGCTTTGATTCGTAACATGATGATTATGAACATGATTGTTTGTTTTATTTTCGTCATGAACTAAACCCCAATTTCTGGGGGAAACACCATAGGATGTAGCTATTTCTAGATTTGATGGATTGATTCATATTTCTTTTCTTCCAATCTCTATTGCATGAAATTACTTAAAGCTTTGTGTTGACTGGCCACCAATACATCGATTTGTAGTTGATTAGGTTATTAGCGACAGTGAAACCCTATTAACTGAACATGTTTCATGTGACATAGTAACTTATCGAAGCGACAGTGGATTAAATAAGGTACTATGCGGTCTTGATTCGGATATCGGTCTTTAGGCTGAATAATTAATTCATTGAGCTACGACAGTAGGATTTGAATTGATTATTTAGTACGTAGACAGGGATAGCTAGCACATTCGTGATATCCTGGCTGTAGAGAGTTGGATGAAAATGATTGGAATATGTGTATTAATTTGGATATGATAGGTAGTGAGTCCCGGTGTTTCTCCCAGAGCTTTCTCCCGACAAGTTTACTTTGCTTAATTAGTTTAATTATTTTGCTATTAGTTAATAATCTCATCAACCAAACGATTTTTTACCTATAGTTTGCTCCATAGAATCGGTAAATCATAAGGTTGTACCAGTCCCTGAGAGATGATACCCTGACTTTCCGGATTACTACAAGATAGGAATTAGCATTACGCTTTTGCCCTATCAACTTCTATAAGCTATTAAGGACTAAAATATTAAGGATGAAAGTGAGAACAAATTTCATGTAAGAGGAAGTAATTTCTAATAATGTGTTAGTAAGGTAATGCTAAGGCAAAGACCTTAAGAAGTAACAGTGAGATTGACCCCTTCTCACTCACCAGGTGTAGAGAGGGGAAGAGGTAGTATCCATCACAAGGAGGTTACCTGAGGAGAGCAGCCACGACAAGCTTGAAGATATTAGAAGGATCAGGGTAACGTGATGGGACTACCCATCTTAACTGTCCTTATTCATATCTTTATGAGTATACCCGGAAACTCGAGATTGTGTTTTTAAATGGTTTGGATTTTAATTGCCCATGTACTTAGGGAATTTCCTTCGAAATTCTTAGTTATTGTCAGTTTGATTTTCAAAATGTGGTTTGGGTTGCTCTGGAGTAACTTTTCTTTTTTTGTTTTTGATTTCTGGTTTTGGTTTCAAAAGTAACGGGTTGTTTCAAGTGTCTACTCCAAGTCTCCAACCGTCTCGTCCACTCTTCTTCTTTTCTTCTTTATCTCTTCTTCTTCTTTCTCGGTTCTTCTTCCTGTCTTTTGCTCTCCTCGACCCAGAAACCACCACCGCACCCAATAACAAAGATCTCTTTACCTGACGAGAGAGAAGGAGGAAACCGAGCACGCGTCAGAACAAGGAAGGCGAGGACGAGGAAGGAGTTAGGCGACGAGCAGGCGAGCCAAAAACCAGGACATCTTCAACGAGGAAGAATCGTCCTTCCTTGACTTCACCATAGTTCGGCCGGCCTTTCTCGCATTTGAATACCGACGAGGACGGTTCTCCCTATGTCCATTTCTTTCTAGGTTTGGGTTTTCCCTTGAATCCCCCTTTTTGCTTTCTCCTTGTGTGTTTAGGGTTTACTGAATACGAGTTTGGGGTTTTTCTAGTACACCTTGAAAATCGACTCGATTTGAAATGTCTTCTTCATAATGTGACTTGTGTGGCCGAGTTTTAGCTATTTTTTGTTAACTAAGGTTGTGGGTTCTTGCTTAGAATCAGTAAATGTGGTTAAATCCAAAAGTAGTTGTTACCTTGAATCCTCCATTGTAGTTGATTCTTGTGTTCCTTGTTCCATTTTAAGTTTGAACCTATTTAATACTGGTTATTTTTGTTTTAAATATTACTTGTGTGTTTATCTTGTAGTGGTTGTCTTTCATAGTTGTTTCTTTTCTGAATATTAGTTGTCTTGAATGAGTTGTGTTCGTCTTTAGTTGTTGAATATTAGTTTGTGCTTTTGTTGAATACTACTCTCTACGTTGTTTAATGTGGACTGTGCAGTTGTAGAATACTGGTTCTTCTGGTTTTGAATATTAATTGTGTATGGATTGTGGACTACTTTTCTTTATTGGTTGTTTCGTTTCTGAATATTCTTGTCTTGAATGAGTTGTGTTTGTCCTTAGTTTCTGAATATTAGTTTGTGCTTTTGTTGAATTCTACTCTGTTCGTTGTTTAATATTGACTGTGTAGTTGTAGAACACTGGTTCTTCTGATTTTGAATATTAGTTGTGTATGGATTGTGAACTAGTTGTCTTTATAGGTTGTTTCGGTTCTAAATATTAGTTGTCTTGTATGAGTTGTGTTCGTCTTTAGTTTGTGAATATTATTTTGTGCTTTTGTTGAATACTACTCTGTTCCTTGTTTAATGTTGACTGTGTAGTTGACAACACTGGTTCTTCTGGTTTTGAATATTAGTTGTGTATTCATTATGGACTGGTTGTCTGCAGCTAGATTAATACTGCATGTTTCAGTTAAGAATATTACTTCTCTTCATTTCGTTGAGTTTGTCCCCCTTTTCTAAATATGAGTTTTTTTGTTTGACAGGTTTGGAATAATCGTGCGAACAAAGAAGCTTGTTCCAAAACACATGAAACGACCCTTAGTAGATCCTCCTGCTCCTAAAGATGTTCCTATTTAAGAAGATGTTCATGTAGATAATGTTGGTGATGACGATCCGGAGCATGCTGCAAAAAGAGTTAAGGTTGCTGTTGGGGTAGGTGCAGGGACATCTACTAGGAAGCAAGGTTATCAACCCGCGGGTTGACCCACGGATCGACCCACTTTGATTCTGGCCCAGTGAGAAAAAC